TGAGCCACCGCACCCGGCCATTTTTTTGTTTTTTTAAAGAGATACACGGGGTCTTGCTATGTTGCTCAGGCTGTTTGTAAACTCCTGACCTCAAGCAGCCCTCTCACTTTTCCCTTCCCTGCCCCTGTCCCAGTCCTGTTTCTTGACAGGGTCTTGCTTTATCACTCGCGTTGGAATGCAGTGGCGTGATCATAGCTCACTGCAATCTCAAACTCTTGGGCTCAAGCAATCCTCCCACCTTGGCTTCCTGGGTACTGGGACTACAGACATGCCACCATACATGGTTACATTTTTTTGTTTTGTTTTTTAAATGGTATCTTGCTCTGTTGCCAGGCTATAGTGCAGTGGGGCGATCTCAGCTCACTGGAACCTCTGCCTCCCAGGTTCAATTGATTCTCCTCCCTCAGCCTCTCGAGTGGCTGAGACTACAGGCAAGCGCCACCACACATGCCCAGCTAATTTTTGTATTTTTAGTAGAGATAGGGTTTCACCGTGTTAGCCAGAATGGTGTCAGTCTCAGGCGATCCACCTGCCTTGGCCTCGCAAAGTGCTGGGATTACAGGTGTGAGCCACCATGCCTGGCCCATTCCTCACTAATTTTTAAATGTCTAGTAAGGACAAGGTCTCATTATGTTGCGCAGACTGGTCTTGAGCTCCTGGGCTCAAGTGATCCTCCTACCTTAGGCTTCTAAAGTGCTGTTATTACAGGTGTGAGCCATCTTGCCTGGTCCCATAGTTCTTTATATGTTTAACTGGCTGGGTGTAGTGTTTTTTGTTGTTGTTGTTTTGAAAAAAGATAGAATTTTTTTTTTTTTTTGAGACAGAGTCTCATTCTGTCACCCAGCCTGGAGAGCAGTGGCATGATCTTGGCTCATTGTAACCTCCACCTCCTGGGTTCAAGCGATTCTCCCGCTTCAGCCTCCCGAGTAGCTAGGACTACAGGCATGTGCTATCATATCCGGCTAATTTTTTGTAGTTTTAGGAGAGATAGTGTTTCACCATGTTAGCCAGGGTGGTCTCGATATCCTGACCTCCGGATCCGCCTGCCTTGGCCTCCCAAAGTGTTGGGATTATAGGCATGAGCCACTGCGCCCAGCCGATTTAATTATTTTTAAGAATCCAGAGTGTAGCACTTGACCTTGTAGGGGGTCTTCTTCCCTTATCTTTTTCTTTTTTATTGATAATGGGGTGGCAGTTGCTGACAAAATACAAAGTACATGTTGAAATGTGTCTCATTTTTCTGTCTAGGTAACGTTACAAAGCATTAATTATAGGATTATGAAATATACAATTTTGAAGGCTCTTCATACAGCATTTGTATTGATGAAAAAATGGAATTTCCCTTTGACTTTTCCTTTGGTATTGTAATTCAGAGAATATTCAGTTTAATTTTTCTTTCTTTTCTTTTTTTTTTTTTTTTTTTTCGGGGGCGGGGACAGCGCCTGGATTAGGTGAAGGGGGTGGAGTTTCAGTTTAATTTTTCTAAAGGAGAATCATCTTGGGATAATAATGTTTAAGTGTAACTTTAATGTTCCCTGAGTTTATCTTCAGGGTATTAGAGAAAATATTATACAGGTATACCTCATTTTACTGTGCTTTACAAATAATGCCTTTTCTATAAATTGAAAGTTTGTGGAAATTCTGTGTCAGATAATTCTGTTGATGCTATTTTCCCAGTGGCATGTGCTTACTTGGTAATTCTCACAATATTTCAAACTTTCTGATTATTATATCTGTTATGATCTGTGATCAGTGCTCTTTGATGTTGCTATTATAATTGTTTTGGGGTGCCATGAATGTTGGCCATATAAGACAGCAAACTCAATTGATAAATGTATGTGTTCTGACTGCTCCACTGACTGGCCATTCCTGTCTTCTTGTCCTTGGGTCTACCTATTCCCTGAGACACAACAATATTGAAATTAAGCCAGTTGATAGCCCTACATTAGCCTCTACATTTTCTAGTGAAAGGAAGAGTTGCATGTCTCTCATTTTAAATCAAAAGCTAGAAATTACTAAGCTTATGAGGAAGACATGTCAAAAGACAACACAGGACGAAAGCTAGGTCTCTTGCACCAAACAAGTTAGCCAGGTTGTGAAAGCAAAGGAAAAAAGTTCTTGAAAGAAATGAAAAGTCCTGCTCCAGCAAACACATGAATGATAAGAAAACAAAGCAGCCTTATTGCTGATATAGAGAAAGTTCAAGTGGTCTGGGTAGAAAATAAAACCAGCTACAACATTCCCTTAAGACAAAGCCTAATCCTTGGTAAGGCCCTAACTGTGTTCAGTGTTATGAAGGCTGAGAGAGGTGGGGATACTGCAGAATAAAAGGTGAAAGTGGGCTGGGTGCTGTGGCTTATGCTTGTAATCCCAACACTTTGGGAGGCTGAGGTGGGCGGATCACGAGGTCAGGAGTTTGAGACCAGCCTGGCCAATATGGTGAAACTCTGTCTCTATTAAAAAAATTAGCCAGTTGTGGTGGCGCTTGCCTGTAGTGCCAGCTACTCAGGAAGCTGAGGCAGAGGAATCGCTTGAAACTGGGAGGCAGACGTTGTAGTGAGCCAAGATTGTGCCACTGCACTCCAACCTGGTGAAAGAGTTCATCTCAAAAAAAAAAAATTGAAAGCTACCAGAGGTCAGTTATGAGGTTTAAGGAAAGAAGCCACCTCCAAAAGCACTCCAGCCTGGGCGACAGAGCAAGACCCTGTCTCAAAAGTTGAAATCTAGCAGATGTCAGTTATGAGATTTAAGGGAAGAAGCCATTTCCATAAAAGTACAAGGTGGAGCAGCAAGTGCAGATACAGAAATTGTACCAAACTATTAAGAAGATCTAGCTAAGGTAATTGATTAAGGAGGTTACACTAAACAACAGATTTTCAATGTAAACGAAACAGCCTTCTACTGGAAGAAGATGCCATCTAGGACTTTGCTAGCTAGAGAGAAGTCAGTGCCTAGCTTTAAGGCTACAAAGGACAGGCTGACTCTTTGTTAGGGGATGTTGCAGTTGATGACTTTAAGTTGAAGCCAGTGCTCATTTGCCATTCCCAAAATCTTAAGAGTCGTTAAGGACTCTAAATCTACTCTGCCCATGCTCTAGGAATGGAGCAACAAAGCCTGGATGACAGTGTATTGATTTATGGCATGGTTTCCTGAATACTTAAAGCCTACTGTTGAAACCCTACTGCCCAGAAGAAAAGTTTCCTTTCAAAATAGGTGATCATTGATGATGCCCAAGAGCTCTGATGGAGATGAATTGTTTTCATGCCTCTTAACACAGCGTACTTTATGCAGCCTGTGGAGCAACAAAGAAGAATTTCAACTTTCAAGTCTTATTATTTATTAATAAGAACTATATTTCATAAGGCTATAGGTGCTGTGGATAGTGATTCCTTTGATGGATCTGGACAAAGTAAATTGAAAACCTTCTGGAAAGGATTCAGCATTCTGGATGTCATCAAGAACAGTATCTTGGGTCTCTATAGCAGAGAATCTGTTATGTAGTAGGCATAGGTTAACACATTTTTTAAATGAAAGCAATGGAGAGCTCTCATTTGCCACTGTAATAGCAACTAGCATTTTTACATTTTTTTTTTTCTAAATTTTTGGGGTAAACATAAAATTTACCATCTTAACTATTTTTAGGTGTACAGTTCAGTTAATGTTAAGTACTTTGTGCAACCAATTTCTGTGTGACTAATCTCCAGAACTCCTGTTCATCTTTCAAAACTTTGTAAACTCTGTAACCCATTAAACTCCCCATTACCCCTTCTTCTTCTTTTTTTTTTTTTGAGACGGAGTTTCACTCATGTTACCCAGGCTGGAGTACAATGGCGCGATCTCGGCTCACCGCAACCTCCGCCTCCTGGGTTCAGGCAATTCTGCTACCTCAGCCTCCTGAGTCGCTGGGACTACAGGCACGCACCACCATGCCCAGCTAATGTTTTTGTATTTTTAGTAGAGACGGGGTTTCACCATGTTGACCAGGATGGTCTCGATCTCTTGACCTGGTGATCCACCTGCCTCGGCCTCCCAAAGTGCTGGGATTACAGGCTTGAGCCACCGCGCCCGGCCTACCCCTTCTTCTTAACTAGTGACAACCACCATTCTTTTTGTTTCTATGAATTTGATTTCTTATACCTCATATAAGTGGAATCATATAGTATTTGGGTTTTTTTGGAGCAGGGGGCTGACTAATTAATGTAATGTTCTTAGCTTCTCATGTTTTATCAAGTGTTAGAATTTCTTTCATCAGAGTTTTAAAATATTTCATCATGTATATATATCCTTTTTTTCATTTATCTGTGGATGGACAGTTGGCTTGTTTCCACCTTTTGACTGTTGTGAATAATGTTACTTTTAACATGGGGGTGCAACTATCATTTTTTGACATTGACTTTTTATTTTTAGATGGGCACTCTGGTTTTTTAAAAATGATAAAAGCAAAACTTGGCAAGCAAACCTACGGCTGATCTCTAAGTTTGATACCGTTGAAGACTTTTGGGCGTAAGTAACCATTTGTTTTAGAATGTTTGTTGTTTTATTAGCTGTGTAGTCTTTTTAAGTTGAATTCACAAAATGAAGTGTGAGGTGAACAGTTAATGAATGTTCATCTATTTTCTTATCTCCTGACAAATGTTTGAATTGGTGATTATGCTTTATTAGTTATACAAAACTTAAATCTTGTCATCCCTCAGCCCTGATTATTCTGTTTTTTGTCCTGAGATATCCTTTGCTCAGGAACCCTTTATTGCCCTTAGAACTTTTGACAATTAGTTGGAACTTGTTCTTCTCTTGGTTGACAAGATACATTTGCCTCATAACTGGGTATTCCAGTGCATTGTTGGGTCCTCATTTTTGCGAACTGTTTTTAGTGGAACATCTGGAATTTCCTGTACCACAGATTTTAAGATATCAAAGGCTGAAATGTTCAGAATTCAGGGATTGTCAAGGGAATGCCAGTATCTATCATGATACTTTATTCATTTCATTATACTGTGATCAATATCAAGAAGAATATTTGAAATATTTTTGAAATTTTGTTTCTGATATAGCAAAAAGCTAAGAATTGGGATCATCAAGTTTTGCATGACTTTAAAACAAAATTTAAAACTGGGCTTAGTGGCTCATGCCTGTAATACTAATACTTTGGGAGGCTGAGGCAGGAAGATTACTTGCGTCCAGGAGTTCAAGACCAGCCTGGTCAACATGAGTTCCTGTTTCTCTAGAAAATATAAAAATTGTGAAGTCTAAGTTAAGAAGTTTTGATAATTGATTCTCTTAAAAACAAAGTTAATCCAGTGTGTCTAATTTACTTGGAGAATGAGTAGGGAGGAACTATTTGAGACCATGAAAGACAAAAGTCTTTAATAAGCATAAAAGCATTGAAACTTAATAATAACTACATTTAAGTCCTAATAATTTATAGGCCTAGTTGTCTAGTGTTAAACTAGGGTTATTCTTCTTTGCCTGTCATCAAAACATCAAGTAGTTTTTCTTCTATAATTATGTTTATTTAGAACTTTTAAATAACTCCAGCCTTCTGCACCAAAAAAAAAAAAAAAAAAAAAAAAACTCTTCATTCTCCTACAGAGGAAAAGATTCTTAAGAGGTGCCAATATTTTAAAAATCAATTTTGCTGTAAGTGACTACAGGAGATCAAATGATCTAAGCCTTTTGCCTTCAGGCAAGCAACCGAGTCATTGCAAATGTTATTTTGATATTTGGGAAATAGTGTAGAAATACAGATTCCAGGGTGTCATTTCATATTTAGGTGATTATAATCCCAAGAGGTAGTGCTTGGAACTGTATTTCTAAAATCCTTTTTAAAATGATTATTGTGTTGACTGACCAGCGACAGTCAGTGGTGTTTGCGAACCATTGATCTATTGTCTTGGATACCCTCAAGGATAATAATGTTGACTATTTCAGCCATACAATCCCGATGGTCAGGAAGTTCATGTTTTCTTTTTTTCTTTTTTCTTTTTTTTTTTTTTTTGTCTAATGTGTTTGTGACAAAACAAAACTGTTGATTAAATTCAGAAATTATTTCATTTACTTAAAGCCACCATATACCTTTCTCCTCAGTTTCTTATATACACACATATGTATGCACCAAGTTAAATGACATATAAAAATATATTTTTGTCAGCTCAATCACTAGAAATTTTTTTGAAAATTATACCTGCCATCCGAAGTTGGTTATTGAACTGCTTTTAAGATCTGTTTTGTCCATTTAAGAAATTGACTTAGAAACAAGTAGACACAAACTTTTATCTGTTTATTTTTCATATTTTCTAAATGTATATATATGTAAGCACCTAAACTCTGTATTACATATTCTGTGTTTTTAATTGTCATTTTCTTTTACCTAGTCTGTACAACCATATCCAGTTGTCTAGTAATTTAATGCCTGGCTGTGACTACTCACTTTTTAAGGTATGTGTAATTGGTGATTTTTATATATTTATTATAGGACTGGCCATTTGGTATTCATTAAGAAATCTTGCCGTAAACTTAGGAGTATTTGATAGTATGGTGAGCAGGCTGATAATTTAATTGGCTTTAGTATGCTTTAGTATAAATATATCTTACTCTTTTTGTTTATAAAAATTGAGGGAGAATTATTCTATGGATACCATACTGAGATTGATTTTCATGAGAGCTTTGATTATCCAGTCTACTCCTTCCTTTATGTACTTGAGCAGACTGAGTTTACCAGGCATTCTTAACCTTAGGAGCATAGGCCCTTGGAATACTTACTATTGGGCTTTGTCAGGTTTGGGGACAGGACATTCATTAACTGAAATTGAATAGTTTTTGCATGTATTTTCTGGGTATAGAAGTGTACAGAGCTTCTAAAATATGTTTGCTATTTAGAAAAAGAACCTTCAAATTAAGTGAAACTCAAGATTTACTAGCAAATAAGTGATGAAGTCAGGACTGTAATTCTGCAGTGTCATGCCTCTGGCGTTAAGTTTTATGTGCTTTTTAAAAACTACATCAGTGACAGTTTTATGGAGAATAAACTAAGAAGTTAACAGTGTTGTTGCTCATTATTTCTAATGATTATCTCTCAAAGTCAAGGTAACAATATTGTGTAATACTGTTGTCTTCTAACCCTGTAGGATGGTATTGAGCCTATGTGGGAAGATGAGAAAAACAAACGGGGAGGACGATGGCTAATTACATTGAACAAACAGCAGAGACGAAGTGACCTCGATCGCTTTTGGCTAGAGACAGTAAGGTTTTAAAAGTATAAAGCAGTTGTAGAGGTAGTTTTGGAATACTAAAACTTAATATATGTTACATTTTACATTTGCTACTTGATTTAAGAGGAGAGAAGGATGCCCAGCACTAGAAAATCAGGGTCAGTAATTACTTTTGTTCTGTCACGTGACTTCTGTTTATAGTACAGTGAAACATTCTACCATATTGTAAGTCAGATATTTGAGTGATTGGCAGTTGACTCTCACCACCAATTTTGTGGTCATTTCATTAACCCCAAAATTATAGAACCTTACATTTTGTATGATTGAAGTTTTTGCAACCCACTTACAGCATTGCTATACATATACTAAAATTTTAAATATTTATATTTTTAGAGCTGGGGTCTTGCTCTCCCAGGCTAGAGTGCAGATATTTATTTATATGGCTCACTTCGGCCTCACCCTTTGGGTTCAAGCAACCCTCCCACCTCAGCCTCTTAATAGCTTGGACTACAGGTGCATGCAACCATGCCCAGCTAATTTTTAAAATCTTTCTGTAGAAATGGGATCTTGATATGCTGTCCAGGTTAATCTCAAACTCCTGGCCTCAAGTGATCCTCCCACTTGAGCCTCTCAAAGTGCTGGAATTACTGATTTGAGTCACTGTGCCTGACCTACTAAACTTTTTAGATCAGTGAAGCAAACAATAAAATTGTTGTGTACTGTTATTCGACCTACATGTTGTGATATAGCTGGAACTTTTGCCTTCACAAGACAAATTAAATATGAGATAATAGGCATTTTCTGTAGACGGCGGTTCCAAACCCCAAGTTTTAGGAATGGGATTTGTAGTCTCTTTTGTATCCCTAGCACTTGAAGCAGTGCCTGGTTTATAGTTAGGACTTACTAAGTTAATCACTTAAAATGTTGGGATAAGTGACACTGTGTTGTTTTTTTAAAGACAGGGTCTTGCTCTGTCCGTCACCCAGGCTGGAGTGCAGTGGGGCCATCAGAGCTCACTGTAGCCTCCTGGGCTCAAGCAATCATCCTGCCTTAGCCTGTCAAGTAGTTGGGACTACAGGTGCATGTCAGCACACCCAGCTGCTGAATGAATGGCTTTTGAAGAAGTAATTGAATTCTGTTTTTGAGGGGGAAGATCATCAGCAAGTATCATTTTGGAATTCCACATTAAAAAGTCAGGACATTTCCATTTTTCAGTTAAAAAAAATGTTGTGGAGATGAATGGTAGTAGTGATGGTTGTACAACAATTTTGAATGTCCTTAATGCCTGAACTGTACACTTAGAAATGGTTAAAATGGTAAATTTTGTTATTGATGTTTTAAGAAACCCAATAGTGCCAGGCTCACACCTATAATCTTATCACTTTAGGAGACCAAGGCAGGTATTTCACTCAGTGAAACTCACAAGTTCAAGACCAGCTTGGGCAACATGGGAAAACCCTGTCTCTACAAAAAATACAAAAGTTAACTAGGTGTGGTGATATGTGCTTGTATGTAGGCCCAGCTATTCAGGAGGCTGAGATGGGAGGATCACTTAAGCTTAGGAGGTTGAGGCTGCAGTGAGCTGTGATGGTGTTACTGCACTCCAGCCAGGGTGACGGAGCAAGACCCTTTCTCAAAAACAACAACAAAAAAACTCAAACCATTAACAACTATTCATAAAAAATAAGAACAAGAGGCAATTAATTTAACCATGAATAAGTATTTCTGTTATTCTGTTATTTGTTTGCTCGTAAATAGAAGCAGCAGCAGAGCAAATGAGTATTATAAAATCAGCTTTTATATCTGCCATGATATTAACTGCCAAATTTGCTGAAAAAGGTGAGGACAACTGTTAATGTTTTTGGTAACAAATAAATGAATGAATAAAGTCAGGACAGATCTGTATATGCAAATAAAATTTAGACATTTAAAAAGTTAACTCTTGATTTAAAAGCTGTCTTTAGTTTTGTGTCTATACGAATATAGAGGAGACATTCGCAGTGTAATAGCTTGTTTATTAAATGTAATTTGGGATTTTTTTTTTAAGCTGCTGTGCCTTATTGGAGAATCTTTTGATGACTACAGTGACGATGTATGTGGCGCTGTTGTTAATGTTAGAGCTAAAGGAGATAAGATAGCAATATGGACTACTGAATGTGAAAACAGAGAAGCTGTTACACATATAGGGTAAGTTTTCCTCTTTGTCTGCTTATTTTTACAATATTAAAATGACTAAAACCAGAAGTTACTTTATTTGTAGCTTTAGATATACTTTGGTTTGTAGATCCTGTTTTCCTTGTATTGTTTTCATGAACATTTTTATAAGTTTGAATGGCTCTGTACCAACAGAGCCAGTGCTCAACGTCTTGTTTATATATATATATTTGTGGTTTTTGTTTTTGATTTTGTTTTTTTACACCACTATTTCGTCTATTTATTTATTTATTTTGAGAGAAGAGTCTCACTCTGTTCCTCAGGCTGTGTAGTACAGTGGTATGATCTAGGCTCACTGCAACCTCTGCCTTTCAGGTTCCAGCAGTTCTCATGTCTCATCCTCTCAAGTAGCTGGGAATACTGGTGCATGCTGCCATGCTCGGTTAATTTTTGTATTTTTAGTAGAGACCAGGTTTTGCCATGTTGACCAGGCTGGTGTTTAACTCCTGGCCTCAGGTGATAACCCACCTTGGGCCTCCCCGAGTGCTGGGATTACAGGCGTGAGCCATTGCACCCAGCCTTGTTCATATGTTTTTTATTTCTATGAAATTGTTTTTTCTCAGCAGTAAAGTATATAACTACTAGAGCATTCCTTTGGCGTGTAGTTTTGTTTTTTTAATTCATTCACCAAATGAGAATGTATTTCCTACTTGAAAGTACTGTTTGAAAAAAGTACTACTTTGAAAAGAGCTAATGTATGCTCATAATAAAAATAATTCAGTGAGTATTGACAAATAGTATATGTGCATTTAAAGCATGTGAATTTTTATTAAATTTATATGACATAAAACAGAATTTTCATTAAATTTATATGACATATCTTGGTTTTTATCCATATTTAAAACCCACATGTGGGGGGGTTTTGACCAATTTTGGAAATTTTATTCTTTGCAAAAATGGTGGTTTTTGTTGTTGTTTTATTTTGTTTTGTTTTTTGAGACAGAGTCTTATTGTGTTATTCAGGCAGGAGTGTAGTGGTGCAGTCATGGCTCACTGTAGCCTCAACCTCCTGGTGATCCTCCTACCTCAGCCACCAGAGTAGCTGGAATTAACAGGCGTATACCACCACATCTGGCTAGTTTTTTTTTTTTTTGTACATTTTGTAGAGAAGAGATTTTGCCATGTTGCCCAGACTGGTCATGAACTCCTGGACTTGATCAAGCCACCTCAGCCTTTCAAAGTGCTGAGATTACAGACATGAGCTACCATGCTAAACTAGCTGGCATTTTTTTTCTAACTAAGATTTCTTTTTAACCTCTATTATATTAGTAATATTTGACTCACAATCTTATGTTAAAATTAAGTGCTGGTCAGTCAGTGGTCACAAAATGTTTGGTTTGCCCCATTGTGATTTTTTTCAAATATTATTAATTTTTCTTTTAAAATTAATTTTTTTGAGACAGAGTTAAACTCTGTTGCCCAGGTTGGAGTGCAGTAGCACGATCTCGGCTCACTGCAACGTCCGCCTCTTGGGTTTAAGTGACTCTTTTGCCTCAGCCTCCTGAATAGCTGGGATCACAGGCCTGAGCCCTATAGCATTTTTTGTAGAGACAAGGGTTTTGCTATGTTGGCCAAGCTGGTGTTGAACTACTGGCCTCAAGTGTTCTGCCTGTCTCAGCCTCCCAAATTGCTGGGATTTCAGGTGTGAACCACTGCTCTCGGCCATGTATTTTTCTGTGAACATGATTTATTTCTAGATCAAAAGGTATAGGGATTTTCTACATTTCGTGCTGTATAGGGTTCAGTAAGAGAAAGGAGTTGATTTGTCATCATATTTTAATGTTTCTGCCAGCATCAAAACCTGATTGTGGAGGTTTTACTTTATTTTAAGCAAGAGTTAGAGAAATT